CTCTCAGCAGCTCAACAACATTTTCTAAAGCACACTGGCGTTGTTGTAGCAACTGGTGGCTGATCTGTGAATAAAGCAGATGTCATTGTGGCAGGATAAAGGGAGAATAATCTATCACCCGGCCACTGCCACTCCTGCCCAAACAAGTCATCAAAATGACAACTTCGGTGTGTAGTCATCAATTAAGGGCTGTGTGTCCCCCTTATCTCATCTGGTTATTATATCAGCCAAGGTTATGTTATGAACACCCAGGGTTTCCCAGCCCTCGCCGCTGTCCCTGGCGGAGGAAGCGCCGTCGGGATGTGCCGAGGCACTGACAGTTTGCCAGCTTCCTTTTAGGCTTTGATTGATTCCCTGCTTTCGTCCAAGCTGGTCTGGCCTAAATAAACACAATATATATTCTGGGACACTTTTTTTTTTCTTTACTGTTTAATCTGAATTCAGCTCACGTGGCTGGCAGCTGAAGATGGGCAAGCGTCAAAATATTCTGACAGGTGCCCAAGCTGAGCACAAAAGGAGAGACAGAAGCAGATAAATTGCCTTTTTAACTTCTCAGAAAGGCTTTAACCCATTTATTATTTTTTTAGCTCCCATTCTAAGTCTCTCAATTTGTACTTGGTTGGTACAGCTCATTGACCTGAGCGAGTCACCTCACATCCCCCTCTTTTGGTGGCAGCAAAAGCGAGGTGGTTTAACACAGTCCTATAAAACACTTTCCATTAGAATATTCCCTAACTTTTATATATGCTTCCAGTGCTGAAGCATCCAGCAACTTGCCCCTGCTTTGTGGAGCCTTTCACGGAGTTTCAGCTTGCCAGAGGCTATTTGTTCCCTCTCTGGAACTGCTGTCCACATCTCCGGACTTAAAAAGCCTACTCTGCCACCTCCTTTGCCTCACAGCTTTGTTAATCACTTGACTTAAAGAGACTAAACATGAGACCAGGTTTCTACCATTTCCCTGGTGCATGACTCATACTTAAATGTGGAGGTTATATTAATTACTGTGTGCTCAGCATTTAATGAGCCTGAGAAGAAGGAGCCTCCTCCCTTCAGCCACACAGAGCATGCAGTGAAGCTGCTGCCCGCAGTGAATGCATTTCCACAGCACCCAAATGTGGATATGTATTTTGTAAAAGGAGGCAAATCAGTCACTGCTCGAGTTCCTTAGAACAGGGTGGCAAAAGCTGACAAATCTGGGCTGTGGTCCTAAATCTTTCACAGGCTGCCTTTGTGCCCACTGGCCAACCCTCTCGGGCTCTGTGTCTCCTGATTTCCTGTCTGTTTGTGGGGATAATAGTGGCTGGCTGAGGCCAGGCTCAGTGCAGAACATTTGTACAACCAAACACCACAGCAGTAGAGAAAGCTGAGAGGAATTATCCTGATTTTTTAAAAAATATGTGAAGACTACCTTTGTTTTTGTAATGAATGACACATCTTCCAGTCCTGTGTGATGGCATCATGGTCTAAGACTACCACCTGTACTGTATGTTCTCTGTCCTTCTTTCTCAAGGTGATGGACATTTAATATCCTCTGTAGGATTTAAAGAGTTTTATAGATGTCCATAGTGCATATTTCCATGGGCTCACATGCAAAAGAAAAGTTGCTGGGTAAGAAATTAAGTGTGAGAAACAACTTACAAAACAGGTTTCTTGCTGATTCAATGGAATAGATGCTTGGATTTGGCTTGACCCAAATGAAATTGCACTGTGGGCTATGTAACAAAGGGGCAGGCTTAGCTTTGGCTAAAATCTGTCCCCTTAGCCAAGCCCTTTCTGTGTTCCCTGGTGGACTCAGTGCTGTGCCTTCCATGCACTGAGTTGTTCAGGGGTTTTCCTCTGTATTCCAAAGAAAGTATCTCTGGGCTGCACCCCTGTCTGTAACACACAATTAATTTCTTTGTCTTTCAAGTTCCTTTATCTGTCTTCTAGTTGGAATCACAGAATAGCCTGAGTTAGAAGGAACCCACAGGGATTACCCAGTTCAACTCCTGGCCCTGCCCAGACACCCCCACAATCCCACCCTGTCCTTTAGTGCTGTCCAAACACTCTCTGAGCTCTGGCAGCCTTGGGGCTGTGCCCACTGCCCTGGGGAGCCTGTTCAGTGCCAACCACCCTCTGGGGGAAGAACCTTGTCCTGAGATCCACCCTGAGCCTGCCCTGACACAGCTCCAGCCGTTCCCTGGGGGCTGTCCCTGCTCACACAGAACAGAGATCGGAGCTGCCCCCCAGGAGGAGCTGCAGACCCTGGTGAGGTCTCCCCTCAGTCTCCTTTGCTCCAGCTGAACACACCAAGTGCCCTCAGTGTCCTCACACGGCTTCAAATCCAGGCCCTTCCCCATCTCCATTTCCCTCCTTTGGACACTCTCCAATGGCTCAATCTCTCCCTTCCATTGTGTCCCCCCAAACTGCCCCAATATTGAGGTGAGGCCGCCCCAGGGCAGAGCAGAGCGGGACAATCCCCTCCCTGCTGCCCCCAGGACAGGGATGTCCCTCCTGGCTGCCAGGGCACTGCTGCCCCACACTCAGTTTTCTGTTGACCAGGACCCCCAGATTCCTTTCCCACTCTCCAGCCTCTCATTGCCCAATTTGTCTCCATCCCAGGGGCAGAATCCAGCACTTGTCTTTGTTCATCTTCACACAGCTGGTGATTGCCCAGCCCTCTGGTTTGTCTGGGTCTAGTCTCATGAACTGCCTTTCCCTGCCCATACTAAAAAGCAGTCTGTTGGAGTTGGGTAGAAAAGACTTTTCTTCAAGACACTGTTACCACCACTTGGAGAATCTTTGTGTTCCACAGCTGAGAATGCGTCAAAGGGTGTGAAAGTAAAATGGAACCCTTGGGACAATACCAGAAACCTGAGTAATGGATTTTGATTTGATTTATTTTGTAAACTCTATGGGACCAAAATATAAGTTTTGGGATTGTCACATTTTGTTTGGTTGGGTTTTTTATTTTTTCTTGGGGGGGGGGGGAAGGGGTTGGTGTTTTTTTGTAATTCAAATGCTAAATGTGTCGTGGTATTTATGGGTTCTTGTGTCAACAATTTCAGGATAAAAGGACAAATGGCAGAAAGGATCCAGGAGGATCTGCCAAACTAATTTTAAAATATTAATAGTTAAATCAGTGTTTGCTCACATTGATGAGTGAACAGAGCTCAACAGCACTGAGGGAATGAGGAAAATTAGCAACAGGAAAAGGGTTGAGGACAATGAGTAAATGTGATTAAGAGATAATCATCAAATGCAAGAATGGCTTGGGGTGGAAGGGACCTGAAAGATCATCTCGTATCACCTCCTGCCAAGGACAGGGACACCTTCCACCAGCCCAGGTTGCTCCAAGCCCCGTCCAACCTGGCTTTGGACACTTGCAGGGATCCAGGGGCAGCCACAGCTTCTCTGGGCAACCTGTGCCAGGGCCTGCCCACCCTCACAGGGAAGGATTCCTTCCATGAGTAAGGAATTCCTTCCATTAATATTAAACACTACCTATGGTCCAGTTTGTGTGAAGTCTCATCTAAACTGATGAAGAACAAAACTCAGCACTGCCTCTTTACAGGTTTTTGCTACGATTTCTTTTGCAAGTTTAGCTGAGTAGAGAAAAACCTCTTCCAGTCCACTCTCTTCAGCTTGGTTTTAAAAATCCACCAGTGCAGCCTTCTCAGTAGTATCGGAAAGGTGAGTTGGGAGCACATGGTGTATCAGATGACAGAGTAATTCCATATTTCTTGTATGGCTTGGTCTGGAAAATTAAAGGTACACTGTGAGAGGAGGAATGCTTTTTCTTGTTGAGTGTCCTCATTCTCTGTTGTATCACAGCCCCTCATGCAGACCACAACTCCAAGCACACAACCCCTCAGTGGCTGGGAATGGATCAGAGAGCTCATAAAGCTCCAGAGAGAGAGCTAAAACTCCCAGTGCTTGGAGGAAATAAAGGGACAAGTATAGGGGCTGCTGGTGACAAGGGGAGGCAACTTCCCTAACAGCAGCTGTAAATATGTTGTGCAACACTTAGAGGGCACATTTCTCTGGGACTTTCTTTGGAGTTCCCAGTTGCACATTACATGATATGTGCTGTGGATGAATCTATGAATGTGTAGCAACAACAAAAGAGAAAAATCAGGAATTTCCTATAAGTATGAAAAGACACTTTTAGGGTTTTACAGCATCACCTTTGGGCAGGAGAATTGCAAAGTTCTGGTGTCCTTCAAACACGCAGAGTCCTTTAGATCCACGTACATCTCTTGAGCATTTTGACTTAATCATGTTATTAATTGCTTGTTTCCAGAGGAAGAATTCCCTTAATTTCTGTTCAAGATTAAAATGTCCACCTCTGAGAAATTATTGGTGTGATTTCGATGAGAAAAGACCATGAACTGGGTTAGCAAATTAGGTCCCTTGCCACGGTGACCACTGAGATAAGGGAGAATGTTTTACAATCTAGATGAGCTTCATCACCTGAAGTGCAGCTGTGTGATTAAACTTCTGCACTAATTTTGGACAGTTTTGGACCATTCAAACCTGACTCAGACTTCACCTCTGTTGCTTGGCAGCAATGGTATCTGCCAGGTTTGGGCAGCCCTGTCTGGGAGTATCAGCCCCTGAGCCTGCAGTTCAGTTCTTCTGCCAACAACAGAGTTGGAGACTTTTTTGTTCAGTCAACTTCTTGGGATTCCAAGTTGGGGGCAGGGGACTGTATTAGTTAATATGCACATTTGGGGGATTCACAGGGTGTGTTTCCTCATATAGATTATAATGATAAACATAAAGCTTTTGTCAGAAATACCTGTGTTGAATCTTAATTAGAATCTGTGCACCCTGACTGCGGGCTGTGACGTTTCTGTATTCAATACATTGATTTTTAAGTGTGGTCAGTCCAAAACAGTTTTGCAGTCCCCAGGAGAGTTCATTAAGAGCCTTGTGCAATATGGTACGTGTCCATTATTCCCCTTTTCTAAGTTACCACGTCCCCTTACAATAACTTTACCAAATGAGCCACTTAAGAGTACATTTTAAGGATGTTTTCAGTTTAATTATCACTGTTGAAAGACGTATCTCCATTACCTTTGTGCATACACGGCAAAGAAAACTTAATCATTGACCAATTCATGGTTTATGAAGTGCTTCTATACCCAGCTCACTGCACTCAGATTAGTTGTCCTTTTTAAAAGGGCCAGGAGGTAAAATCCTTAAAACTTGCTCAGGAATCCCAAGGCAGAGCTGCTCCATTTCCATAAACTGGGGTTCCACTCTCAAAGATTTCATCATCAGTAACTTCCCAACTTGCAGCTGCGTTTTTTTTCTCCTGCGTTTCCCGCTCCTCTCGCTCCTCCTGCTCCTTGGACGTGTTTTCTCTTTCCAGGCCTCAGCGAGGGTGTTCCTGTGCCCAGCAATCCTGGCTGGCACACATCAAAAGATGCATTTTCCTTTGGGAGCCGCACTGGTGTGCAGTTGTGTGCATTTCACTGCCATTGTCTGCTTCTCCACCAAGGAAAAACAGAGCTCTTCTATCCCTGAGCACAAAGAACAAACTGTTGTCGGAGGGGGAGGGAGGAATATCTACAAACCTGTAAATCTTTCTCCTTCTCCTGTTTATTCTTCGTGCCATTCAAGCCCATTTAGCGAAGGACCAATTAACTCCAGCCCGATGGCACATTCTCAGAGGCCAGATTTCTCCTGTCAGAGATGACACAGCCGAATTTCCAAATACTTTCTGGTTGAATGCAGCATTTGCTTTTCCTTGCACTTTAGTTCATAGTTCCCAACCTGTTACTCCAGCTAACAAACAAAGTGACATTTTCCCTAATTTTCTCTCCATTTTCTCATCAGCAATATTGTAAAATATAGGGAAGATGTGTACCAAATCCAATGCATTGTGCATCCAGTCTTTTATTATTGTGAGTCAAACTGTTTAAAGGTATTTGTCCTTCAGTAATTGTTCTGCCAACTGTACATGGCACATCACTGCATACAGAAATATACAGGAAGCAGGAGTTTTACAGATTACTCTCCTAGGGTAAAAACATGCTGCAAAGGTAATAATCTGTAAAATAACTCTAATAAGTGAAGAAAGCACACTTTTGACTATGATATGGTATCCACTAAGCCAAAACCCAATACAAACCGGGGGGGAAATTCCAATATTAGATCTGAATTATTTCACCATAACATAGTGTTGTAATGAACATATCTATGGTATGGGGTTTCATTTTATATCTTGAAGTTTATAACTTGGAATTTAGGAGAACTCTCAGTGCAGTGACCAAATGACCAATGAAATTTTTGCTTTTATATTGACAGTTTGAAATGCAGTTGTGTTAATAGCTTTATTTTGATATGCCATTCTGATGTCTGAAGTGAATGAACCTTCTATTTTGTGTCAAGTGGCAGGTCTGCAAAGAAATTGTGCATTAACCCGATTATACAGTGCTAGGATTAGGTACTGCATGGGCTTGTGATCTTACATAAATAATATATATCCAAGGAGTGAGTTAAAACACCATTCAGATGAGCCCTAAAAGGTCAGGTTGTGAAACTGCAACAATCTTTTGATTATTTTTTTTTTTTAGTGATTCTTCTGCTTCCCTTCTCAGTGCTTTGTTTTCACAGTCTTAGGTGGGAGTTTTGCCCCAGAACTATCAATTGGCACAAGATGAACCTGTGTCATCTACTCCTTGTAATGTTTGCAGCTCTCAACAGGAGTCAGTGAAATGTTTTCTTTACCGATGCTTCTCTGAGCCTCATTAAAGGGGGGAGATCCTGTGGTCTGGAAGTAGGAAAGAATCTGGTGTGTCCCAGACAATTTGCAATATCATCAGTAACTCTGGGCCATGTTTATTAACCAGTGAAAAACAGCATTAAAATTAGATTTCTCTTTTTTTTTTATGGGTCACAAATGAGTAAAGCAGTAAGAACATAATGACTCTAAAAACACAGAGAAATATTTACCACTCAAATGTCTGAAGAAATTAGCAGTGATAAAAAGGAAACACCATCAAGGGAAAACAAAATAGCCCTGAAAAACAAGTAGTCTTTAAATTTGCCTCTTTAAACTTGCCTGGATGTTTTTCTGGATTTCCCAGCTCTGACCTTTTTGCTGGTGGGGGGGGGGAGGAGAGGGAAAGAATAATGTAAATGCCAAAAAAGAGTTGGACAAAAAGTAAGCTTTGTATCCTATCTATGAGAATCAGACGGTGTGTGTCATGCTAGTTTTTACAGTCATAGTCTACAGTCTCCCACTGATTAAAATGCAATTTGACAGTAGCACAATATAGAGGTTTAACTGACAGCACACACAGCACATTTGCGAGTCATAACGCCACAGTTTAATGACTGACGCATGTGGGAAGCTAATTCGCTTTTTTTTTTTTTTTTTTTCTTGAATGGGATAAATGAGCATCCAGCTAATACCAATCATGAATTCAAGCCATGTGACAAAATTGATGCTACAGACCCTGTTCTTGTTTTGCATATTCTGCAAATTGAGCTGCAGGAAAAGAGCCGGTTTGTACACACATCCGGAGAGAAAGTTCATTCTGCTTTCTGACACATCCACCAACTGCAGCTGAATGTATCCAGCTTGCTGCTGCTGTGTTCACAAACTAATTACCCTTTCTCTGTTAAATAGCCTAAGAATTACAAATTGTATGCCTGTTTTGAGAAAAAGTACAGGTTGAACAAGCAGACGTAGTATAAATAAAATATTTATATAAAAATAGTCTCTTACAAAATATACTCTCTTATCCTATGCTTGATTTTTTCCAAAAGATGGAAGTTTGTCTGGATTTTCTTATTTTTAGACATATTCCAAACAGGATTTTATTAATGCTTCTTTCTTTAATCGAAGGAAAAAAAAAACAAAACAAAACAAAAAACAAAACAAAAACCACAAAACCTGGTAAAGATTTGTAACCCCTACCACTCAACTTTTGTTCCAGACAACTAGCAGCAAACAGGAGAAAACAAACAAACAAACAAACAAACCCCAAAACAACAGTGTTTGTGTATGTACATATATATAAAGACGCCAGCTTTTGTACTTAAACATCTAGTACAGTAGAACATATCCTGCAAGTCCAACTAATAGAAATATCCTAGTCAAGAATAATATGTACAGCTCCAGTTCTTTCCTTGCTGTTCCTACAAAATTATTCCACAAAGAAAGCCAGCTACCTACTTTAATTGCAGAATAGTTCCCCAAAGGTTGGTAGAGTTCTTTTTTAATTAAATAAATTAATATTAGTTTTATCTGAATAAATTGTTAAATATTGCTATTATTATGCCCGAGTGTCCCAAATCCCTGTGCTAAAATCTGCAGCACACACACACACACACACACGAAAAAAGGCAGGTAAAGCAGTGTCTACAGAAACCTTCAACAGTTCTACTCGCTGTGGCAAGGGGGATGAAGTGGAAAGATCAGCAAGACCAGCAGAAGCTTTTCACGAGTGTAGAAGCCAAAACCTGTGTCATCCACACACTCACATGGGCCTTTCACAGTGGGGCTCTGTCCATCCCATCCTGTGCACAGCCCTTTGAGGGGGGGATTTCTCCCCTTTCCCTCCCTGCTCCTTACATTTGACCACCTCTTTTCCAAACCAGGAGTCAGTTGCCACCCTCAGAGGTTTCTCCCCGACTGGTGCGTCGGCACGAGGCAGTCAGTGCTTCTTCCTTTGGAGGTGCAGGTTAACCGAGATCATCTTTTACTCTCTCTTCTGTGTGTCAGGTGGCTCAGGGCGGGGCTTGTTTGTTTTTCCTTTCTTGGCTGACTTTACGAGTCTGAAATGTGTCTCCACACAAGCAGCGGAACGCGGGAAGAGAAGAGGGGGCTCCGTCCGTCAGCGTCTCCTCCGGGCGAGCAGGTCCTCCCTGCAGCCTCGTGCAGGTACGTCGGGTGCATGTGCAAAGGTATCCGTGCGGCCAGGCCGTGCCCACGTGCTCACTTACAGGTATAGACCTCTGTTCTCTCGCTGCACGTGTTGCACTTGACGTAGCAGCACCAGTGGAACTTGCAGTTGCACTGCCACACCCGCGAGTACTGGTGGGTGTTGTACCCCCGGCCGCAGCACATCAGGTCGCAGCCGTTGGACTGCTGGGCCGTCTTGTTGCACATCCTGCCCTGCGTGCCCACGCTGCCCGTGACGGGGTCCTCTTCGCAATAGTTGGGGGATTTCTCTATGTACACCAAGTCTGTATCCATGGGTTTGCGGTAGGAAAGGGGCTTCTTGATTTTGAGGAAGGTGGGGCGCTTGTTGCGGCTCGCCCGCACGGGCTCCACCTGAACGGCCTCGTTGTACTTGTCCTTCAGGATGTAGCCCAGCTCCCGGAATTTGGGCAGGGTTGTCCAGCATGTTTTAGTGGTACAGGATCCAGAGACCCCGTGGCACTTGCACTCTAACTTCATGTTTTCTTCCAGAATCTGTGTTGGAAGAACAAAGAATGGCGTGTTAACACAAGCAGGGGTATTGGATGGATGTTGGGTGACAGGCAGGGATGGGTTTGCTCTCCAATAGGAGCTGCCACCAGACACAGGTCCCATTCCCACCAAAGCTGTGGGTTTTGCTTGCCTGGACAGGCTGTTGTCCCAGGTAGCAAACGCTCATCAATATCAGCCAAGTTCCGCCTGTGAAGCTGATTCCCCATTTGCACTTCGAGTTAATCAGGGAGGATAACTCTGCCTAATTTCATAGCCCAGGTCCCAAAGGCAAGATGGGACCTTCCTTAACCACAGCTTTTCCTCAGTGTGATTGTACAGTGCTTCAGATTTATCTGTTCTTGCAGTGTTTGGCATATGCAGTGAAATCAGGAGCTGGCAGAAAATCACACCTTCACATGAACTGCCATGTGCAGAATCCTTTCAGAGTCCAACAACAGATGCCAGAACCTGACTTTTGTAAACAGGAGTTCGAAAATAAACTGCATCTCAGTTCTTGCACCTCAAAATGACACAGGCTGGTGCAAGAGATGAACAAGCAGATACTCTATCAATGCTTGTCCTCCTGTAGGTCTCACATTAATCAACATATAGAACAGATTATTATTTAGTCATATAGGCCTTGTCTGTTCTAAATGGTGCAAGTTAATGCTCCACTTTGGAAAGCTAAGGATTATTTTGATACACCACAGTCAAACACACTTGGAGGGTTTGAAGTATTTTGCCTCCTGTCACATGGATAACAGAGCAAACAAATGTCTCAGCTACTCTGCAAGAAAGCAAGTTCTGTCTTAGAGCATAAAGGGTAAGAGTAAAGGAATCAGTTTCATGTTTTGTCATCAATTCTAGTTAGAAAATGTCTACCTCTTTAATGCTGTAAAAGCACTTTAAACACCCCAACATCATGGCTTGCTCCACCCTCTCTCATGCTCCCCTCTTTGTAGGGGTCTCTCATGGTTATGCCGGACTTGTCACTACTTTTCTTTTGAAGATAACAAGCTTCATCTTCCACCTTCACATCCCTTGAAACTCTGTCCTTGTATCTTCTCCCTCCTGCTGTTTTGCCAGACCAGGCTTTGCCAAATAAAGCTGGAGACCAGCTCAGTCCCTGCTCTGTGTCCTGAGCCCCACAGCTGACCTCACTCAGCAGCAACACTGGGTTAACACCAGCAAACATACCTGATTCCAGCAATTCATTTCCCACTGGTCTTTACTTGAAAGAGACCATAATAATTTTGATGATGAAATTCTGCCTAACCTGGCAGAGACCAGCAGTGGAAAGCCCAGCCAGAGGGATTATCAGGGTTCAGGGAGTGGCCACATAATTTTTCCCCTGAGACAACCCAGCTGATCCGTGCAGATCCAAACCTAGGCAGCCTGGAGGGCTGGAGGGAGGTCAGTGATATGGAAATTTGAATTAACCCTTTTTTATTGCTGGAAAACTCACCATGCTGACTCAAACACTGGCCTTTCTCAGCAGAAAACAGGAGAGCCTTCACTGAGGAAGCTGATTATCCTCACACCTTTTGGTCTTGAGGCCGTTCCTGTGTCACCTTGGCACAGAAACTGCTATTGCCTGACCTTGGGGTAATTTGTAGCTGCTTCTTTGCTCCCTGCTCTTTCTCTGCCCACTTTTGATGAACATGGGGATTTTAAGGTATTAAAACCACAGGCTGAGAGAGCTGGGGCTGTTCAGCCTGGGGAAGAGAAAGCTCCAGGGAAACCTTGTGGCAGCTTTCCAATACCCAAAGGGGGAGAGGAAATTTTTACAGGGGCACGTAGTGATAGGACAGGGGGGAGTGGCTTTAAACTGAAAAGAGAGTATTTTTGGGTGGGATACGGGGAAGAAATTCTTCCCTGTGAGGGTGGGGAGGCCCTGGCACAGGTTGCCCAGAGAAGCTGTGGCTGCCCCATCCCTGGGAGTGTCCAAGGCCAGGTTGGACGGGGCTTGGAGCAACCTGGGCTGGTGGAAGGTGTCCCTGCCTGTGGCAGGGGGATGGAACAAGGTGACTTTTAAGGTCCATTCCAACCCAAACCATCCTGTGATTCTATGATTTTCTGGTTCTGTGGAATAGCTTTGTTTTTTAACTTTAGTCTATGAGCAAGTTGTCCCCACGTGTGGTCTGAAAGCAGGATTCAAAACCCTAGAAAGCACAGGTCCAATGCTCTGACAGTTGTGAACTTTGCAGATGCCAGGTCACACTTTGTGCTACTGGTTTTCAATTAGTTTCTCATGCAAACTATCTAATGACTGCCCTAAAACTGAGATGTGAGAAACTTTTCTATTCAGATCTACATCTCAGCTTGCAGTTCTGCTCAAGCCTTTGGCTTTATCTTGTTATCTTGAGTTTCTCTCTCAGCCACTGCATACTTCTTTTATTGCTCACTCATTCATAAGGTAGTGCACTTCGAAGATAGATGAGGAGATCTATGAGGAAAAGGAGTTAGAGCACAGAAACCGGAAAAATAACATAAATTCTTTTAGCCTCATTTGTACCTTTTTAAAAGCTTTTTTTTTTTTTTTTTTAATTTGAAACTAGCCAGGATACATTTCTCAGCCCTAATTCAATCACTGTGCTCTTGCAGAATTGCCTGGCCTTATATCCTGGTACGATGTTCAAACTTGCAACAAAATATTTCGACCTCGCCTGCCATGGGGATCCGCCAAACTGACTCGAAACATTAATACAAAATACATCATGTGTCATCTATCAGGCAGGTTGTTTGTTGGTTTTTTTTGTTTGTTTTGTTTGTTTGTTTGTGGGTTTTTTGGTTGTTTGGTTTGGGGTTTTTTTGTCGTTTGTTATTTTCGTATTTTCCTAAAATTTAACTGGCTGCCCCTCCCTTTCTCTCTGCACTTGTGGGAGATGCACTTCCAACAGGCTGTGCTAAAATCTCTCCAACAGATCTGACCCATTTAGGTCCCCTGCACTCTGCAGTTGGGCTTTCCCTTCCAGATCTGCCTCCTACCCTTGGCTCACAACCCCTTTTTTGGGGTTCTGTTGGTTCTGTTCTTGCACACATACCCCCCTCACTGGTGCTGTCTTTCAATACCACGTTCTGCAAATTCAGCTGGAGATGAATTGACTCTCCAGCCTTCAGAGAACAGGCTACATGGAACTTGAACTGCCTGTCCTCAGCCAAAGCAAAGGCCTGCAATGGTGGTTTTATTGTACTGGGATATCAGGCGCTTGGGCTACTTGTTTTGCAATAAAATATGTGGATACTGTTCCATTATTCCAGTATCCTCTGATAAATCGATGTCTTCATAAATTCAGGGAGAGAGTTGCAAAGAAAAAGAAAAAAATAAAATAGGGGATTCTTTGGGTGGGGCCAGCAGGCTTTGGTCTTTACTTTGGTTTCTGTGAAGCAAAAGCAGTGTCCTACCCCTTAGAAACTTGGTCTGTGTTAAAAACAGAAAGTGTTCTTGACCTTTCAAGATCAGGTTTTGTCTCTTTGAAGGAATTATCCAGCAGCTCATACTTTTTACGTCAGATTAAAACTTTATATACGTTACAGACTGACTTTTCCTAAACGTAAGAGCCTGAAGGGCACAAAATTTAAATCCTAGATCCTCTGTTTCTTACCAAATGACCATAGCCAGCTCCATCAGTAAATCTGTATGCACCAGTGAATGCTCTGAACTGGATTAAATGTGAACAAAGAGCTGGAGTTCATTTAGCTTTGTCCACTTTTTCTTTGAGCTCCTACAGTAAACTGTCAGTACTTGTTTCTCTCTCTCCCCCCCTTGCCATTAGCCTCTGGGAAATAGTTTGTGTGAAGAGAACTCGCTGGCTCTCTCTCTTGATGTTATCTCCAGATGCAGTACCTTTGGGCACTGCCATTAGGAGCTCAACATGTTTTTTCTTCACCTTCGGTTGTGCAGGGAATGCGCAGGGTTGGTCATGTGAGGGTGGCAAACTGAGGCTCTGGAAAATGCTGCATGGGCTGGGTCCAGCAGGGTGGTCCTGCCCTGGGCTGGGTGCTGGGCCCCTGGCTGGGCTGGCTCAGTGAAACCAGCAGGAATTGCTGGCTGCTGGGACTTGGGGCTGGAGTGGCTCTGGCTCACAGGGGCGGCTGCTGCAGGAATTGTGCCCTCTGGGTGGTGGGACAGGAGCTGGGGGAGCTCAGGGGGCAGGACTGAGCTCTGCTCTGGGGGCACCAGGGACAGCCCCCAGGGAATGGCTGGAGCTGTGTCAGGGCAGGCTCAGGGTGGATCTCAGGGAAAGGTTCTTCCCCCAGAGGGTGGTTGGCACTGAACAGGCTCCCCAGGGCAGTGGGCACAGCCCCAAGGCTGCCAGAGCTGCAGGAGGGTTTGGATGATCCTCTGGGGCATGGGGGGTGACTCTTGGGGATGGACCTGTGCAGGGCTGAGGGTTGGACTCAATGATCCTTCTGGATCCTTTCCATTTTGGTATATTCTGGGATTCTGTGACCCTCCTGCAGTGGGTTTTCCCAGCTCAGTGTCTCTGTTCCATGAGTTACTCAGTGGTGTGTCCTGCCCTGGCTTTCCAAAGCCAGCTGCCTTTCCAAATGCATCTGCCAGAGCAGCCTGGGGCCCCTCATGCCCAGTGGGGTCAGGCTGGGCACAGCTCTGGGTTTGTTCACCAGGACTCCACAGCCCTCGATGCCAAAGCTGTCCTGAAGGACATGCAGTGTCAAACCCAGTGACCATCACACCTCCAGGGCCTTCTCCTTCACCAACAGGACTCCCATGGAAACAAAACCAACACCAGAGTGCCTGAGGCCAGGGACCCTTTGCTGCTTCATCCCAAATAACTCAGGTTCCAGTCTACATGTGAGGGTGTAATTAGTGAGACAACAGGCACTGACTCCTGTCCCACCAAGGCCATTATCTTGCCTAATTTTTCTGACATCAGATCACTTGGGTCAGGAAATACCTGTCTCCTATGAGTGCCTGCACACACAGCTTTACTATAGATCAAAGAAAACACAACTATTGGCAAGACAAGAGTGACATTTTC